TTAGCCAGGATGGTCTCGATCTCCTGACCTCGTGATCCGCCCGTCTCGGCCTCCCAAAGTGCTGGGATTACAGGCTTGAGCCACCGCGCCCGGCCCATTAGTTTGTTTTTTAAGCTGTCACATATCTGTGGGATGTGTGGGTTTAGAATAAAATAATCTGAAACTATTGTGTGCCCTTCTATTTTGCGAATAATATTTCCCTCATCTCTCATGATATACATTTTTATGTTTAATTTTAAGTCAGTTAAGTCATTTGAATTTAAGTTAATTCAGTGTCATTTCAGGGCACAGTTACAAACATGTAAGAACAGCCTCCGTTACTGCTACTAACATTTAATGAATATATGAGAAGTATACACAGCCTAAAACTGGTAATTTAAAAAAAATTCAATACATCTCCAAGGGATTATAAAGTAAAGCAAATCGGCCTTTTGATGTAGCCAATAGGTATTAGTGATGATACTTCCGAAGACCGCTGATTTGACTCATGATTTCTTATTCTGTCTTTCTGAATATGAAATCATGAAGAATTAAACAGGCAGCTACCAATATAAGATGAACTAGAGTAATTATTATATCCCAGTCAACAGCTAGGAGGGACACCTTAAAATTAACGAAGCTCAAATAGAGATGGTGATATCAGCTGGTGGTCCAATAACCAACCACCATTGAGAAAGCTGTTTAGAATGAAGAACTCCTCTACATATCACTCAACTGCGCAGAACTCCCATGAAGGTCTTTTGTCCACCGAGGCTGCCTTCAGTTAGGTTCATGTTGATTTGGTTTGAGTATGTGTATAACCATGTGAGAGGCACGTGTGAAGAATATGATATGGTGCATAACAATTTATTCTGTGCCTGCTACCTGTGCTAGGGATCATCCAAACTCAAAACGCAGGCAATTCTAGCACCCTCCAATAGCATGACCCCTTCTATCTCTTGTTCTTGAGTCTTTTCTCCCTTTAAATCTGCCTTTACATGAGCCTCCAAACTGATTAAGAAGCAAGAAATGAATGAAAACCAGTAAACCTGGTCTAGACTTTCTAGTAGTCTGTGTACCTAACCCTCTTTTTTTTTTTCTTTGAGACAGAGTCTCGCTCTGTCGCCCAGACTGGAGTGCAGTGGCGGGATCTCAGCTCACTGCAAGCTCCGCCTCCCGGGTTCACGCCATTCTCCTGCCTCAGCCTCCCGTGTGGCTGGGACTACAGGCACCCACCACCTCGTCCGGCTAGTTTTTTGTATTTTTTTTTTTAGTAGAGATGCGGTTTCACCGTGTTAGCCAGGATGGTCTCAATCTCCTGACTTCATGA